TGATGGGTACTTGGTCAAGCTAAGGCTATTGCACGTTCGACTCCTGGATTTATTGCTCAAAATTCCATGCTCGCTATTGTATATGCTTTTGAACAGATAAACTCTCTGAATGCCAGGAAATTCTATCAACGTTCGTAGAAAATCGCAGTGTAGTAACTTAGGAATAAATTGCAGAAATTGTAATTTTACAGTTGTTTCCTTAATAAATATGAATTTGAAATTTTGTGTGGTGGGCAGAGTATTTACACCCTCATACACTTTGTCTCTCCTTTCCTATTACACTTTGTTCCACGAGTTAATGAGAATGACTCGAAGTGCGATAACTCTAGTGGTTTTCATAAACCCGTGAAACAAAGTGTAATAATTAGAGTGTAATAGATCGTAATAGCCTCGTAGAGACAATAAAAAAACAAAAGAGCCAAAGTGTAATAGCGATAAATACGCTAAAGTGCGTTTCACGGGTTTATGGAAACCGCTCTACCGCATGCACGATTTACTAAATAGAACTAGATAGCACATTTATAGTTTGTACAGTTGCAGGGTTTAAGGGCGATCACTCTATTAAAGTGTGATAGATACATAGTCGTGTACGTGCCTTTTCTTTCGCTTGTCAAATACAAATGCAGCTTTTTACCCATATCAACAGACACATGAGATAAATAGTAACCTTTTAATACCGTGCTATAATTTAATAATAAATAATCCATTTATAATTTAATAAAAGGACTTTTAAAGCCTTGTAAATAAATATCCCTTGCACCAAGACCATCCAGGGCCCAATAATGCATAATAAAATATCAGTATCCCTGATAAGTACATTTGTCAGATAAATACGATTCTAATTGGGATACCTGTGTACACAGGAAACCCAAGCCTGACCAATWTTCTAAAATTACAATTAATTCGCCTTCAAGCTCTATTTCGTTAGACATAAGAGATATATCCTTGTGGCCAACATTTCTAATTAATGCAAAAATGAACGCGTTTGAATGATMTCGAGTTGAGCTTCCTTTGCCTCGCTGTCCAATATTCTGAACTAGGTGTGCGTTTCGTCTCAAATAAGGACAGGAAGCCCAAGAATTATGGTTAGTACCAACAAATTCCCACATGCATCATCTCTTAGCTTGATTTTATCTATCTATAAATATCAATTAAWATTATCTAGCACAAAATGAATTCTGTTGTTCTAGAGCGACATGTTATATTGTAGACAAAATTGAAGTTACTATAKTCACAGAAAAAAATCCAAAATTYTAWAAAGGCCGAAAAATGCCTGTAATTGTGTAATCTGTCACRATTTCCAACCTCTCCAACTTACAAGAATTAGCAAAGCAATGTATTGTTGTACGAACGATGGTACACTTCTGGTATTCGAATTTTCCAAAATGGATATTATAAAATTTCCCATATACGCCTACTTGCAGAAACGTTGTCATAGAAAATAGGACTTTTGTATTTAGTAAAAAGGAATAAATTAAAAAGACAAAGAAAGATCACTGAGTCTGAGAGCTCTCTTTTATCTTGTTTCAATTTATTCCTTTTTACTAAATTCAAATGTTCTGTTTTCTTTGGCAACGTTTCTGCAAGTAGGTGCAACTGCTCTTTTTAAGTGTTGACATAGTTATACATGGAAGTAATTCGACGTTAATAAAAAAAACCAATGTCCTTATGATCGTCGAAAACACTTGGTTTTACCATTGTTTAAGTTTGGAAAACATAACAATGGAAAAACGTAGCCTCCTCCACAGGCATCATCAAGCATCACGGGCTTCCTGTGTTTCTATCTCGTCACTAGTCCCTAGTGGTCAAGATGACCACTACAAAGGAAGCCAAAAGGAGGAAAAAAAAGAGTTGCCTGGGAAGGAGGCTAGGAAAAACGCATTTTCGCGGTTCTGGGGATTATATAGACACTAGGCACTAAGTCGTCTTAGGGAAACAAATAAACTGGGACTTTTCTCATTAATCATACATATCTATGTGAGATCAGTCAAGTTCAGCTAGTTGTAAACCGTGGCCAATTAGGATAATTTATCGCCAAGATTCGACAGAATTTCGTTGATAAATTTGTCACTCCCAGGTCCCCCAAATACAAATGGTYAAAATGGCACAAGTGTCTTTCTAGAACACCAATAACCCTAGTATGTTAGCAGATATGAGTTAGTATATTAATGTACGCCATTTAACATCATCATGTGCATTCCAAGACAATGACCTTCGTGTTGCTGTCATCATCCATGACGTCACGGTGCAAGCATTAGTTACCAGACCTCTGGTGCTACAACACGGCAAAATAAACATGTCAAAAATGAGACAGCAAATAAAATAAACATGAATAAACAAAACGTAGAAAAATGATAAAGTGACAAAATATAAACATAATCATGAAACATTKAGCAGCATTGAACGTGGACATGAACAATTAACATAAACAATACTTGTTGTACAATGGAACCTCACAATTTTCTTTCCGGTTAAAACGGCCAATCCGTTAGTTCGGCCGCTTTTCGATGTTCCTTCGGTGGCCGGAAYAATGGGGTTCCACTGTAACATTTAACCATCAAACAAAAACAGCAACAAAAATCGAGATAAGCCGAGACAAAGTAAGGTTAGCAAAGTGAAGATTAGCAAAGTGAAGGCGATTTACGACCATTACGTCAAAAGTGAGACATCCACAACTATCTCATGCAAATCACTCATGGAAATTACGTCATGAATGTTGTTATTTTTAGAATACGAGCATTATCACGTGATATATTACGTCATGAACTATTACCCATTAACAGCAATAATAACCATTACCAGTACATTATTCTTCTTAGTTAGCAAATCTTTTAGGAATCTCACAGTTAACTGATTATAAAGATGTTAAGATATTTGTCAACCACTTTATATTACAAAGTGCAATATAAATAATCAATACTATTAAATATGTAATCTTGAATTTATCGGTCAGCAATATAACTGTTGCTTATCTTATGCTTTTTTGCCCGCTGGAATCTTTTTTAAATAAAACTAAAATAATTCCGAATTTCATTCAATGTTACCCCAAGTTATTTAGGTATACTTTCATTTTATACTTTAAAATTCGTTTAAAAAACAAGTATTTATAGCCTTTTGGATAAGTWAAATTTTCAGCGACGTGTCATCATTAAAGTAAGCTATTTTTTTATCAATCCCTTTAGCATGCCTATTTATAGATACCAATGGATACCAGACCCCTTACATTGAATAAGGAGGATCACCAATGAATAATGGATTATTTCAAGATAAAATTGTTTTTCATTGCCTACACCCTCCACTCTCAAACATTTCTAGAACCTATATACGGAATAAAATGTGCATTTGAAATCAAGATAACGCCCATYAACAACACCATGTTTCCATGGCAACACGCCGTTGCCATAGTAACACCAAGGAAAGACCACTTGTTATGTTCGTGATTAAAATGTGGAGATTAGATCAAGAGACTACGCCCATTCACACTGTTTCTATGACAACACCCCGCTGCCATAGTAACGCCAAGAAAAGACCTGCTGCTATGGAAGTAGTTATCAAAATGTGCAAATCAAGAGACAACGTCTATCAACACCAGTTTCTATGGCAATAATTCGTTGCTAAGGTAAGGTTATGGAAGCTCATCTTCCATCATGTCCTCACCACTTTCCCCTCCTGATTGTCCGCTAAGGCTGTGATGGTCGGCTAGGGCTTGCTTGGCGAGATAGGCTTCTCGTTTTATGATGATTTCAAGGGCTGTTGGCACATCTGGCACCATCATGTCGATGAGTCTCATCACGAAGAACACGAAATGCTGAACACACAAAGAAACAAGCAAACAAAAGATATTAGTTATAATACTCCTGCACTATTTGACAACAGTTTCTCTTGCGCAAAGACCTTAGAAAACACAAAAGAGAGCATGAGAAAATGTCCTTTTTACAATAGCTTTAAAAATTTGCATTTTTCCTAAGTTGAGGCTAACCCTAAGGTATGAGCCTTCTGGGAATNAACAACACCATGTTTCCATGGCAACACGCCGTTGCCATAGTAACACCAAGGAAAGACCACTTGTTATGTTCGTGATTAAAATGTGGAGATTAGATCAAGAGACTACGCCCATTCACACTGTTTCTATGACAACACCCCGCTGCCATAGTAACGCCAAGAAAAGACCTGCTGCTATGGAAGTAGTTATCAAAATGTGCAAATCAAGAGACAACGTCTATCAACACCAGTTTCTATGGCAATAATTCGTTGCTAAGGTAAGGTTATGGAAGCTCATCTTCCATCATGTCCTCACCACTTTCCCCTCCTGATTGTCCGCTAAGGCTGTGATGGTCGGCTAGGGCTTGCTTGGCGAGATAGGCTTCTCGTTTTATGATGATTTCAAGGGCTGTTGGCACATCTGGCACCATCATGTCGATGAGTCTCATCACGAAGAACACGAAATGCTGAACACACAAAGAAACAAGCAAACAAAAGATATTAGTTATAATACTCCTGCACTATTTGACAACAGTTTCTCTTGCGCAAAGACCTTAGAAAACACAAAAGAGAGCATGAGAAAATGTCCTTTTTACAATAGCTTTAAAAATTTGCATTTTTCCTAAGTTGAGGCTAACCCTAAGGTATGAGCCTTCTGGGAATACAGGGTTAGCCTCAACCTGGGGAAAATGTAAATTGTTGGCGCTATTGTCTATTTAACATTTTCTTGTGCTTTCTCTTGTGTTAGTGATGTCCATCGGTAAGAAAATTTGCTGTCAAATAAAACAGCGGTTATTCGCTTTGAATTCGAAAGTGGAGTATTAGATACACGTAGCTATCATCATCATAGAGCGGATTTCGTATGAGTGGGAAACGGACGGTACTGTACTGTGACCGTAATCGTACTGTAACCAAATTCTAGTGCCCCATTGGTTCACTAAAATTGTGAAGGCCAGGTCCGGTAACTGTGCGGTAACCGTGCGGTAACGGTGTCCCACTCATACGAAATCGCGCTCTAAGTTGGAAGCTGCAGTGTTTGTACTGATTTTTTTCCTGTTTCTAAAACTGAAGCAGCTCTATCAAAACCCACCTCAAATATGATGACAAAACCGAGCCGTAATGCAAGAAGATGCCAGTAGAATCTAGTGAAATGTCCCTGTGGATCTCGATATTCTTGATAACTGAAAAGAAAGAGGGAAATAATAACGACATTATTATATTTTTAAATGCTGCTAGTTTTCTGTTTTGATGCTGTTGTTTTGTTTTTATTTCACGCGTTGTACATGTGTCTTTCTGAAATTACAAATGAGAGTTTTTGGAAATGCAAATATATGATTTAGAGAGACGTCAAAAAACCCGTGAAACACGTGTCACTAATAGTCACTTTTGTGTCTATTTGACTATCACACTTAAATAAAAAAACTTTCACGGGTTTAGTGACTTCACTCTAGAGTGGTATCTCTACATTTTGGAGGCAAATAAAAGTTAGTAAAAAAAATCGTAATAAAATACGAATACAACAATTTCAGTCATCATGAAAACGGATGAATGTAGATGAATTGCCCTATTTCATTATGACGTCACAGTATGTTTACATCGGAAAACGATGCTCAAAAACAGTAGAAATTTGGAATCATTTTAATTGTCTACTAAAGTTGAACTTCAATGAATCGTGTTTTGATATATATCATGTATAAACGATTGTTCATGTACATTTTATTTGATATGCAGTCACTCTGATCCCCTCTGGCGACCATAATCCTTAGCGTTATAACAATAGAATGTTTTGATGTGACGTCATAATGAACTAAGGCAATACTCCGATTTCGAGTTCTGGTTTGCTCTGTGTTAGCCTCAAAACCAAGCAACATATTCTTTTGTTTCAATGATAGCCTGACAAAACGCATGGAATTTGAAAAAGAAAGACAATAGAATTGATTTAAAATCTCACACTTTTATTCTCACCATTAGGAATATTTTGCGCACAAATGAGGCTAACACAGAGCATTGGAGAATTCGAAACTGGATTATTAACATAGTTTACAATTTCGATCTTATGAATTCCTTATAAAACATCATTTCTCACCGACATGGCTCCCTAGTTGTATTCGCTGGCGACCAGGCCAGGGAGAAATTAGTGAAGCCTGTTAACGAATAATCGTCCGATATTCTATACCGGTAAAGCACCTTGGGAAGGAAKGTTGACGTGAAGGCAATCAGGAAAGCCTGTTAGAAATAAAGCAATAAAGACATTTTCAGGAACAGTTCGYGGGCAGCAGGATGTTCTGTAACTATTCTTGAATGTACTCTGCAGAGCGTAGATTAGAGTGCACGTCACATAAGCATGAAACAATTCTTAATATGTATTGCTAAATAGAGTGAAAACACTTAATCCGTGAAGCTTGAATAGTGCAAAATAGTAATAAACTATGCTAATTCCTTTGTTTTTAATTGTCTAATCAATACTATTTAGTAGTAATTAGTACTATTTGTTTCACGGTTTTAGTACGTTAACTCTAAGATTTAGTTATCAACTAACTAAGAATTCAACAAAGCATAAACACAATGCCRATTATTTAAATTCCTTTGTAGCATTGTTCTCAATTCTTAGTTAGTTGATAACTAAATCTTATTTAGCACTACATAGTTAAGAATTGTTTCACGCTTATGTGACTTGCACTCTATTTGCATTCCTCCTTGTAGCACATGCATTTAATTTTCTATGATTTTTTTTTTACATATTCAAGAGGCTAACATATAGTATGTAGTCACTGATTTCATTGTATTGCTTGGGCTACTTACATTACTTATGACAGCGATCTTGGCTACAGTGTCCAATATATCAAACCAAATTCCAAGATCCTGCGCCCGGTCAGCGATGGGTCGACGTACTTCGCACACAAACTTATCCGAGTCGATACGGATTTCGAAGATGTTGTTTGCAAGAGCGAAGAAAGGAGCCAATGGGAAGGCAGCGACAAAGATAGTGATGAAACCAAACTGCAGAACTGCAACAACAAAACAACAAAAGTATTGGCAAATAGTCCAATTTCGATATCTTTGTTGAATGGACAAAAGACCTGAGGACAAGGCTTCGGGGAACAAAAAAATGTTTTATTTATTTATTATTACTTTTTCTTCAATATATTTAGTATTTTGGCCTCGCAAGACTTTGATATTAATTTCATCTTGATTTCCTCAAGTATGTTAAGGCTTGASTTTTTCGGTCTTGACGCACGATCAGCTTGTATTGTCTGTAAAACTAGTTTCGTTTTATTGYAAAACCTCCTCAGTTACAAGACTTTTCTAATGGACAGCATGGTGCCCGTTTCGACTACTGCTGGCTCGTTGCCTCCGTCTCCTCAAGGCTCGGAAGTAATTGGCTGTCTCGGCTTATTACTTTTTCATTTACTTTTTTTTTACTCGTTACTCCGACGAAGGATTAACGTCCGAAACGTCAGTAAGTTGTTTCACCTGCTTTTTTACGGTTTTGAATTTATCTTTTTGCACAACAGCAAAATAATTGTTTATTGTTTCCCTGGCACCTCATCTTCAATTATTTTTCCAAAATATCGAATGTGGGCTATTGCATGTTGACCTCACAATGTGCAACTCTTGTATTTCAACAATGGTCTTAGCGGTAATAGTTTATTTTTTGCGTGTATCTAAGGGAAAGGAAGAAACAAAAATAGAATGGTCGAGTGTTATAATCTTTGTGCTTTACCCATCTCAAGATATTCCTGGAAGAGACCCTCGTTCTCGACGAGTTCGTAGTCTTGTTCCCATCGAGGTTTGATCTCGCCTTTGGTGGTACCGCGCTTCCTTCGTTTCATGTAGGCTTTGATCATTCTGAAGTAAATAATGATTCAAGATTTCAATTAATGGTTAAATAAGAGGGTCCAAGTTTTGATTACAAACATAAAATTAAAGCCTATCCAAGTAGTCTTTATATCAAGGTTACAACTGAAGTAGAGGTCCAATATAATTGTTTGATAGCATTGAAAGACTTGAAGTTATGTTGTAAAGGCCCGTTTACACTTGTGATTTTTACAGCGCGATAATTGCCACTTTGCTATGTCGCAACTACAATCGTAAGTGTAAACAGCCCTGCGATTGTTGCGGCGATAGAAAATCTGTTCGAAACTCAGGCGATGGTCGAGCGACAAGTGTAAACGGGCCTTAAGGAAGACTTAGGCAAGTTGCATGTGAAGGTGGTAGGCAAAACCTGCGCAGTCTAATAGACCTTTGAAGATTTTACGTCATGTACTGTATACGCAATGCATTATAGGATATGTTTGTGCGGCGGATTGCTTTTGATATGCAGAAACTGATCCCACAATGCTTTGGAAATTACGTATGTGACATAAAACCTTCAGAAGTTTATTCGTCGTTCATAATGACGATGACTTACGGAATGGCTATCTCCTGGACATTGTTGATCATCTGTTTGCCAACCATAATGATGACAAGCTGTTGTGCAAGCTCCATTAGACATCCACCAGGACTGCACTGTTGGTATGACAACCATACGAGGTCATTAAACACTTTTCTTATATAATTATTGTACTTCTTCTAAAAACCCTTTAATAGAAAATGTGCAAAGACGCAATTTTGAACAGCAAAGTATGATGGGAATTGTAAGTCCTCCATGCTTTGTTAGTAAAAATGGCGTCGCTGCACAAGCCTCCTCCACAAACAATTCATTTTGCCCTTTTACTTGGGATCCCTCTAAGGAATACACGAATACCAAGAGTAGAATGAAGAGAGACTGCGGAGGAGGGTATTGCTATTTCTTCAAAAGCCTTTTGTACGAGAAAATAATCGCTAAAATAATCCAACCTCTTCTTGGCGAAGACCAAAAAGACGGCGATAGTGACCTGGATATCCAACCAACCTGTCGGGGGAAAGAGTTTGWAAGGCCATCAACGCAGAAGATGTACATGTAGATGTATATTGGTTCTTATCTTTTTGACTTATTTTTATTCAAGTTGTATATTTCTATTGTGCCCTGGCTCGTATAATGAACTCTAAATGTTTCATTTTAAGAATAGGGTCGCAATCAGCCATTAAAAAAGTCCCTTTTCTATTTAATAAAATACCCCGATAAAGTCGTACGCATATTATCGATCCCATACGATCGCTAGGAATAATCAGAAAGTAGGTTCGGCTTCCCTGCCTCCAAAAAGACATCAAAGCGACTTACTTTCCCTTGAAGAAGGCGATGTAGAAGATGGACGAGTAGAAGTTCACAAACTGGAAMACAAACACCTTGAAAGTCAAGTTGTCTTCATATTCTGTCTGAGTCCGGTGCATTTCTGTAAACAACACAAATGAGTTACATTCAARCGATAACATKGTACCAAATTAAGACCTTSTCCACATTCATTTAGCCTGTGTTACATCCAGAATTGTCTCGCTAAAATCCGTCTGTGAATCAGAGCAACGAACCAAGAAAATTCCAGATGTAACACAGGCTAACATTCATGCTTYCTGCGTGACGTTTTTGTATTCACGACTTCCATACTAATGTTAAGTAAAACTCGAACGAACCGAGGTCAAGGTACAGTGGACATTGTGTGGTACAGTGTTTTTGTCACTCCATTGTTTCTAATTAAAACAATTGGAATTGAAGACGGCGGCCGTATTGGTGAAGAGGTCAATTCAAGATGGTGGTCGTTTTGGTAATAATGTCTATTCAAGATGGTGGTCGTATTAGTGATAGGTTCTATTCAAGATGGCAGCCGTACTGGAGATAGGGTCCATTCAAGATGGCAGCCTTCAAGATGCCGGCCGTATTATCACTAAGGGCTATTCAAGATGGTAGCCGTACGGGCAATTCAGTCAAATATATAACGTACCCCAGTGAGTGAGAGCCAACGCAACGCGTTCATATACCTGTCAATCAAATTAGACACGGTTAAAAAGCCATAAAATTAGGTACAGAGTAGAGTGCACGTCACATAAGCATGAARCAATTCTTAATATGTATTGCTAAATAAGATTTAGTTATCAACTAACTAAGAATTCAACAAAGCATAAACACAATGCCAATTATTTAAATTCCTTTGTAGCATTGTTCTCAATTRTTAGTTAGTTGATAACTAAATCTTATTTAGCACTACATAGTTAAGAATTGTTTCATGCTTATGTGACTTGCACTCYATGTGCATAGCTATCTATTTTCCATCAAATACTTTTTAAAATGCCAAGTACAATCTATATACAGAGAATCTACATACAATCATATACAGAGAATCGGCCAAACGCTCGTAAGGGATGCCGGTTAATGATGCTCCTTTAAGCGTTTTGCCACTCTTCTTGACAAACGTTTTTTTTACGAGCTTTATAAAGGTTGTTTATAATTAATCATGAGGTGTTTACCCTGCTAAGAATCATGATAATTGTCAAGTTGACAAAGGCACCAGACGCGTTAGCAATTTGGAGAGCGTATTTTCTCGTGGAAGGGTTACGAGCCAGCGGTCTATAGACCAGCAGTTTGTAGACAATTACACCAACCATAAACACCAACACTAGCGAAACCTGAAGAATAYCAAGAMAAAACATTAYGWACAATAACTTAACATCAGCAAATACTACAGAAGTCCATAGTGTACTTTGCTRCRTCAACCTTGGTGTTAAATAAAATAAAACCTAGCTTTCGACCTACGCGGTCATCTTCAGGGTAACAATGAATCTCGTTACTACAGAAGTCATTTTTGCCTGCTTAGCCAGGCGTTCTTAGGCACTCCGAGGGAATGGGATTTTTGCATGAAACGGTCACATGGTACTAAATCCGCCATGATACTGGATGTAAACAATGTAAACAACTTCAAAAACAAAAGGAACGCATCCCGTCAAGCTTGACTTTTCTTTGTTTTGAAMATCYCCAGTGGGTATTTTGTCATCCAGCATGGCGAATTCTTGTACCATGTGACCGTTTCACGCAAAATGCCTATTAAATCCGGAGAAACCAAGAAGGGTCCAAACTCTCTCGTAGGAGCTAGGAACGCCTGGCTACGCAGAGTAAAACTTTTTTAAGGACAAAACATTAATATAAACTGTCTAATAATAAAGGAATTAGTCATGTCTCCGTATTAATGAGCAGTGAAGTCAATCAATTCAATCAATCATTCAATCAGTAACACACGTCTTCRTATTTACGATCGACTAACATCGTGRAAAGATAGTTACCATGGTGATGACAATCGCGATACCCGACAGCAAACGAGGTTTTCGTTTCTCGTCAGGAAAGTGCGGTTCTAAAATTCCCGTCACAGGGTTCCGTTCTACTGTCGGCGCGAGTGCTGCAAACGTAGGCCGTGGCCGCTCCTACAGAGTAAAGCACACACAAAAAYATTATGTTACATTTACAGCCATTAATCAGTGTCASTTATATTGCAAAATAAACATATAACGCAGTACTTTAGGTTTTTTTTCTTATCTTTCTTTTTTGACTTCACAATATAGCGTTTGATAAGCAATAGGCCATTTGCTTGATAACGTAACTTAACCACGCTACAARAATGCTCTGCATATTTTCTCTGTTACTCAGATATTCAATCTGAGAAGAGTAAGAAATTGGGATTAATATGAAATAAAAAAGAAAATTGGCAGAGCATCCTGGTAGATAATGACGTCATTACGGAAATCGTCTGATGGAAAATCTATATTGATACTAGTCGCATTATAAAAGAAAGTTGGCAAAGCATTCTGGTAGTTACAGCAGAAACCGTTGCATCGCGACTTCAATGTTCAAAGGAAATAGTTGGGATTTAGGTTTTTCTGCGACTTGGGGGCGGAGCTTGATACTTGATAGTTTTCGAAAAGCTCAGCCCCTCAGATTGAAAGAAAGAAAAAAATCCAGACAAACGTCAAAAAAAAAGAGGTCGCGATGCAACGATTTCCGCTGTAATGTGGTCATTACGCAAATCGTCTATTGAAAAAAAACCGTTGATACTAGTTGCATTATAAAAAGAAGTGGGCAAAGCATTCTGGTAATAATTAATGGCGTCATTATGCAAATCATCTATTGGAAAAACCATATTGATACTAGTCGCATTATAAAAGGAAGTGGGCAAAGCATTGTGGTCTAGGTAATAGGTGTTGCCATAGAGATAATATCCTTACCACTTCCTCCTCGTACTCCAGCACATCCCAGTGGTAAGCTAAAGTCACCTCTTTCCTCTTCCAGTACTCAAGGAAGAAGCATGCTAAAAGTAAAAGTAATATTTTGAAAATGAATTCAGTGACTATGTTATATTTTTCATTCTTCTCTCWCTCTTACCCCCATATTACGGTGTCCGTAATATCGGGGTGTCCTTAATGCAAACGATGGTCGTTGATTAATAGCATACTATTTGTGCCAGTCSCTTTCACACTCGCTCAATAGACTCCTGAACCTTTTACGTCACTACTTGATTTTCAATGCATTGTGGGATCAGTTTCAAGAGAAAACAAAAGAAATCCGCCATGTTCTGTCCCAAACATGTCCTACAATGCATTGCGTATACGGTACATGACGTAAAAGCTGCAGAGGTCTAGATCAGATGGAGAAATGCAACCATRCTTCTAAGGATTAAAAGTTAAATCAACAACTAGGGAACGGGTGGGAGGGTAAATACAAGCATGGTAGCGTGCGATAACAAGCGTGGAAGGGAAATGAGTTATAAAAAAGCCATTGGTATGACCTTGACCGCATAGGAGTATTTCGCGAACTGGGCCGAATAGGATTTCGAGCTGTTATTTATACTCGCTCTGTAAGAGACTAGCGCGAATAGTGCTACTTACTTACCCCAGAAAGAGACAAATATAGCATACAACACCGTCGCGGCGTTGTCAAACATGTAGGCAACCTAATGTAAATATAAATGAGGAGACACTCAGCAATGTGGGATAGTATAGGAAAATWGGCTCTTATTTACTTACCACGCATGCTCAATACATTACAACAAAAATCAAGAAATAAGACAGAAGGCTCATGAGCATGCGTAATAAGCATATCGCGTATCAAGACAACCGTCAAGAAAGCCAATCATTATAGAAAAAGTGATTAGCAGGCACTGAGGTGTTTCCTTACCTTGCCTGATCCACAACTTATTTTCAAGTCCCAATACTGACAACCAAGCTCTTCATCACACAGGGAACACATTTTGAAGGTCCATGCAGGGGCTTCACAGACTTCAAGACTGAGTTGAATTAATAATAAATACAATTATAGGAATTTTATTTTTTAAATTTTGAGTTATTTCGGGRACTGAACGTAACTGGACAGATTTTAGGAGGCGCGGTSGCATCGTCAATACACTAGAATTTAAAATGGCRGAAAGAGAAGCAGGAAATTCAGTAAACCCGCAACGAGAACTATGAACTACATTCAGAGAACTGAGAACTATATTCAAASACTTCTCTGGGAAATACATACTGCTCCYTAATGCCACTTCATACTTACGCTGGTTTGTTGTCTGGACTATTAACAGTCGCAGCACCGTACAAGAATACCAGTAAACCAACAAACGATGGCATGATTAGCCAGGCAGTGTACTGACCTGGAAGTGTAATCACTAGTTAGACTGGCGTTTCTGACATGCGTAACAAGGACTATCTAGTGTTCCAAAAAAGCGGCAAAGCAGCAAAACAAAGGACAGCAACATCATCAATAATAAAATTACTATTAAGTAACAATAACAACAGCAGACGAAAAAACAAAAGCAACGCGAAAAACAGCAAGAAAAACAACAGCAACTGCAACAAGAAGAACAATTAGTGCAGCAACAATAGCGACAGCCAAAGCAACAACAGCTAGAGCAACAATATAAAAAAAACACAGCAGCGACCACAAGAACAACAATACCAACATTAAGTGTAGCTTACCAAGCCATGCAAAATAAATCCCAATCTTTTCCCCAAAGTAGTCCCTAAAATAACGAATTAGTGGTTAGAAAGTGACCAACAACTAAAGAATATTATAAAAATTAATACACATGTGAACTGGTAAATACTTGTAGTAAAACATGAGCAAAACGAAGGTCTTCTTCACAGTTCTCAGTGCTATTTCGAAAGTTGTACTGGTAYTGGAGGACACATTAGTGAGAATTTTAGTTCAACCCCGGTTTTCAATTTTCTTCTCAAATTAWTGCATTWCAAGTAATGTATGACGAACTTTTTTTGCATTAAAAATGCCATTACGCAAAGTACAGCGACGCCATTTTGAGCAACAAAGCACGATGAAGTCCTCGTACTTTGTAATGCCCAATAAAACAGCGCTCWTTTYTTTTTTTTTCTTTGCAAAAATAGAGGTTGTTCTACCGTTTCGACAGAGAGCACTTGAAAACGTTTCTAGAGAGATTTTTAGGGGCTAGAAAAAGTACGATGACAACATCGTCACATTTTCAAGTGCCCTTGAAAACGAGTTTTCAATGCCAGATTTGTCAAGGACACGAACCCTTAATGCTGTAAATGTACTGTAATCCCTGCTACATGAACTTACCTGATGTGGTCCAGTGGCTGGTACTTGTACCATTTTCCCCATCTTGCCCAGTATTCTTTAAGAACTTGTCTTTTATTCAGTTTAATTTCCTCGGGTCCATGGGGTCCTTCATGAAATTCTTTGGGTAATTCTGCTGGGCCCTGGAAATAAATAGTTATCAGTTACTACTTCAGTGATTTGGAGATTAACTTTACGAAGAGATCATCGAAGAGATGACCGCACCCTAAGGAGAAAAGTCTCCAGAGAGGGGAAATAGATGATGATGATGATGATTAATCAGTGTAAGGTTTTAAATGTACTTGAAGAAAAGTTATCATATATGTATGAGAAATGTTTAGCTTTTGATTAAAGATTATAAATAATTGAGTAATAGCTAATTTTCAACATACCACGTGAAGTGGGTAACCAGCCTTGAATACTCCTTCTTCTACAAGACGTTCAACACCTTTAAAAGAAAATTACTGTTAGCAATGGAAAACTAAGTGTTAGCAGTCAAGCAACTGACCAATCAACCAATCAATCAACCGACCAGCCTACCGACAGAATGGCCAACCGCGGACCGACCGACCGACCAGTCAACCGACCAACTGACCAACCAGCCAACAGACCAATCAAGCTACTGACCAAACAAGTCACCAACCAAACAAACGACCAACCAACCAACTAATCAGCCAACCAACCAGTTCATTGCAGTCATCATTGCTTGTACTACCTACCAATTTCTCCTCTCTGACGTTTTCCATATGGCGCTGTTTCCATAATTTCATAAACAACTCTAACACGCTCAACATCGGTGAAGTATGTGTCTGGGTTGTCGCTTCCAATAAACCTGAAACACATCACCGGAGATATTTATTAGTCATGTTCACTAGGAAACAGTTTGTGACTCAAAGGATAGAGTGTTTGGCGTGGTACACATATGGTGCCTGCGCACTGGTGCTTTGTCAACGGTACCATATTCACATAGGAACTYTGTGTTTAGTGCCCGGATACAAGTACCATTCCATGAGATTCAATAGAAAAAAGACCAGCGGCCATGTTGGAGGAATAAACAATTGATACTAATAAGAAATCCTTTGTTAAAGTTCCTCCAAGATGGCCGCTGTGGCGCGGCATAATGAAAACTAAGAATACGTGTGTGAGAGTTTTGTTGTCTTTGTTTATCCACTTGGAAATACATAGTCATTTGTCTTCTTGGATATGATTTGATTGTGATGAAACAAATAAATAAGGCTCAGCCGTGGTTTATACTCTCATAAACCACACTTTTTTGGCCAATCAGAGCGCGCGTTAGAAATCATCTATATAATAAAACACTGTGTTTGGTTCTTACTTTCCCAGTTTGCTTGCTTGGAATGTACATGTGAAGAAGTCAGGAGGAGGATTGGGTACATCTTCTTTGAATATATTGGGCAATCGAAACTTTTCCAACATGCGCTCTGACCAGTTGATCTTCCTTGTTGTACGGATCTATCAAAAACAGAGAAACATAATTAACCATGCTGTAAGTAGCCATCTTGTGATCAGTGACAGTTATTAGATATACCGTAGTTAACTCATTGTAAAGCCCTGTTTTCACTTGCGTTTTTTGCAGCGCGATTGTCGCGCGACAATCGCTACTTTGCTCTTGCGCAACTCAAATTGTACGTGCAAATATCCCTGCAATAGAAATCTGAAGCTTTCACGTCRTGTACCGTATACGCAGTGCATTGTAGGATGTCTTTGGGACATAACATGGCAGATTTCTTTCGTTTTCTCTTCAAACTGATTCCACAATGAATTGAAAAGCAAGTAGTTACGTATTAAAAAGGATCAGGGCCGGGTTGTTCAAACCCCGATTAGCGCTAATCCTGGGTTAACTCTTAGAAAACCTATGGAGTTAACCCTGGATTAACGCTAATCAGGCTTTGAACAACCCAGCCCAGAAGTCTATTGTCGCGGCAGGAACTGTTGGCATGTAGGATTTGAGTTGCGTGATAGCAAGGTGGCGATAATCGCGTTGCAACGCTGAAAAAATCGTAAAAGTGTAAAAGGTCCTTAACATTGAGTGAATGAATGCGAGTTTGTGTCATTCATCACTTACCTCTAGTGGTGCCCTGAAACTAAGTTCCTCAGCATAGAATAGAAGTACTTCCCAAGGAACATGAACTTTGATAAAGTGTACTTTGACCTTCTTGTCTTCAGTAATTTCCTGTTATAAAAAATGAATTGTTTGTCATCACCTCGTTATAGAAATACTCCAGTTCCAACTACATCTTATTGGTGCAGCCTTAACCTAGAGAGCATGTAATTCTTGCACAGAAGAGAATTCGAAACTGGAGTATTATAATAAATATAACAATAATGATCTAATAAATGTGTTTTGTTCCACCTAATTAGTACCTAATTTTCTCCACGTATATTAGGGTCAAATTATAGGAAGAAATCAAGCCCAATTTTTTATTCTGCTATTATAGCTTCATTTCGAGGCTGGTGTTTTACATATCAAAGAATTGCCCCACAAAAGTTGTCCTTCGTTTAGCAGCCATATATGGTAATCTTACCTTATTTGAAAGTTCGATAGGAATGGTTTTTGTCGATTTTCTCGACTTTTAAAGCTTGAAATCGTCGGAAACTTGCAGATATTATAGCGAAAACACTTYTAAACAATCCGCCATTTTGTTTGTTTCCATATATGGCATGGATTCGCTAAAGGAAGCCCAAAACTAAAAAGCACAGGGAACCCGCACGAATGATATACAATTCTTTGATATGTCTTTTGTAGAAAACTCCAGCCTCGAAATGAAGTGATTGTTTCGTGTTCATCCAAGTGAATGTGGGATTGGTGTATTGTACATATTAAGAAAAAAAAGTAATAACCTCTTCAAACTCTAACTGAGACTTTTCTAAGTTCTCAAGAAATTTCCTTCGGTATTCCAGAATTTGAGGGTCCTCCTCCTTGTCATCCTCCTCATATACCAAGACATAGTCTGTTCAAAATAAAGAATCATTTAGTGAAAAAAAAAAAAAAACACACAAAAAAAAACGATATTTATAATACAAGTCCCAGTCCTTAAATTCTGAGAAATAGCATGCGCTTTGTGGTCTAGATTCAGTACAAACATCTTTTGTTCATGAGGCCAAATTATGTCAACTTGTTGTTTTGAAACAACTTAATGACTTTCCTTTTTTTTTCTTTTCTCCTACGAAGGATTAACGTCCAAAAATCTAGTAAGTTGTTTCACCTACTTTTTTAACGGTGTTAAATTTATCGTTTTGCAGGACTGTTTCTTTAGAAACATCAACGCAGCTCACACTAGCTTACTAGTTTCCACCATGGCGTTATTTCGTACTGAAGCTACGTGTAGAACACAATGCACTACGATTTTGTAAAACTCCAAAGTAAACTTAATTCAATCAGAGATAAACTTGATTTATAAACATTCTGTTGGTTTATAAAAAGTTGAAACTAAAGACAATATATTAATGATTTAAACTAGTAGCTCTTCAATGSACTAACCAATTTGTCTCTTGCCATCTCTGAAGTAACAGCCTCTTTCTCCACTCATGTCTTCATCATCTACCGCCTGTCAATCAAAATGTRAGTCAATTAATGTGTTTGACAAAATGTTACATTTGTATATTAATAATAACATGCATTTGGAGACACTGGTGAAAAACGCACTGCGCATKTCCGAAGCTTTCCCGCTGAAATCTGCCTAATTTCCTTTGTAAAGCGATTTTTTGTGAAAGTTTTTTTACAATTTATAA